GGGAACCTATACCTATCTCAGGAAGCAATGGAGGAGCCACTGAAAACTTTTGATAAAGCAGAAGTGAAAATAGAACCAAAAAGTTGCTTTATCAAAGCCTCTGCTTCTGAGGATGTCTAATGGGCGTAGCCCCAACTCCCAGGCCTCAAGTCACTTTCCCCAGCCTGGAGGCCAGTTACACTTTGCAAGGCCCACCCGGATGCCCGGACCCCACCCAGAGGTTCTGGTTTAGTCAGCCTGAAGGCCTGGGCCTTGGGGTGTTTAAAAACTTCTGGAAGTAATTCTAACGTGCAGCCAGGATTGAGAACCATTGAGAGAGACAGAGAGACAGAGACAGACAGACAGACAGACAGACAGGCAGGCAGAGACAGAAAGAGAGACAAACACAGAGACAGAGACGGAGGAACATCTAAGATAAAATGGAGGTGGCGAGGAGGAGAAAGCAGAGGAATAAGACAGGAGAGAAGGAAATAGAAACGTGAGGGGAAGGGTAGCGTGGGTGGCAGTGGGCAGGTAGGGAAGTGGGGAGGAGGAGGACTGCGTCAGAGGGGGAGGCAGGCAGAGGGACAGCAGCTCCTGTGACCCAGAGACGACTTTGTCGGTGCTCTCTTGCTGTGAAAGCCTCAGACCGGGCCCTGGCAGCATTTCCCCTGTCGTGGCCCCTCCTGGGGGGATTCCCTGAGTGCCCCAGCCATGTGCCCGGATGTGCTTCCCTTGGGTCCTCACCTGCCATCGGGCTCTCCAGGCCTCCACCCCCAACAGTGAGCGGGCAGAGGCCCAGCTGCCCCCACCGGCCACCTTTGCCTCAGTCCCTCCCTCTTCCTCTAGAGGCCTCCCTGCCCTGCGCTGTGTCCACTCATCAAGCCCCTGTGCAAAGCCCTCCATCCCATGCTGCCGCTTTCCTGCTCAGCTCCTTTTCCTCCTACCCCTTCTCTCCTTCAGGTGTCAAAAGCCACCCACAGACCCTCAGGTGGATCAAACACCCCTGCCCCTCATCCCAAGAAAACTGAGATCTTGGTGGACGCCCCCTGCCCACTCCCCCTCAGCACTGGGGCTGATGAGTTGGACCTTCCTGAGCTGTTTTATTTCGCTGCAGCCCCGTAAAAGCAACTTCATTAAGAGAACCACAGGCCTGCAGAGCTGCAGGAGGGATCCAGACAGCAGGAGCAGAAGCCCCTTAATGAGAGGCCTGCAGCCTGGGCAGGCCGCCTCCCTCTCCTGAGCTCCCACTTTGCCTCCGAAG